GCCTTTCGGAGCGAATTCTAAGAGGAACGTTGCCACATTTCCAGTCTGGGCACTTCGAGGAACTCTTCGGGCCCTGGGACCATCAAACAAGGGCCTGCACAAAACGAGAGTATCCACGAGATGGGTCTCAGAGGTCAGAAGGGAGATACCGTCACGAGCAAGCCACGGCGTCGAATGTCTGGTGGCCTTGCGCCGCCTGCCCGCGTGACGGGTGGATGCGTACAGCCAGGCCGAGGTATAGGATCGAGGTCGGTTCGGGAAGGGCACTATCATGTTCTTTGTGTCTGTTGGACGCTCTTGTGCGTCCTGGGGGAGGTACCCTTTGCTATTCTGTGTGTGTTTTGGCAGACGGAGGGTCTCATGTTCTTGAGGGATGTTCTTCTGGCCAAGGCCCCATAGTTAGGCCGCTGAACCAAGGACCGCTTCGGGTTCGGAAGGGGCTCGCGGTTCCTTAGGTCGTTCCGTGGTTGTTCCCCCCAGGCGCTTCTGAGGTCAAAAACGAGTTTCGTTCTTTATTTAGCATTCCTTTTGGTAGTACAGTCAACCCGCATAGCAAAGATGGGCAACCTTCCGCAGGGTACTCTGGCATCCTTGCATCCACGGCCCATCCTTGGCCACTTTCATTCGCTGCGCCCCGCTCGCAAAGCGCTGACATGCCCTCCCAAGGCCCTTGCATCCTTGTCGCGCGTCCCTACTCTGGGATTCCTCGGTACCTCGACTGCACGTGGCCGCTTGATCTCTTTCCAGCGCTCGACCCTCAGGCGGCCAGGCCCGATCCCCCGTGCGCTTGTCGTGCGCGTGCCGCTGGCCGCCTCCGTCGCCTCCCCCGCCCGTGGGAGGAGCTCGTCCGTGCGCTCCCCTCCGGCTCTCTCCGACCTCCCACGCGGCGGCTGCCTCACGGCGCGGGCCTGTGGAGCCCACGGGACCCTGGCCCCTTTGTGCGCGAAGTAACGGGGGAGGGGGGGCGAAAAAGGGGGGGGGGAGAGGCATGTGCCTTCTTCGGGCCCCGAAGGGCAGCCCTCGCTGCCCCCCGATCGATACACATGGTTCAGTTCTAAGTAGTCGAAGGTTCTTTAATTTTGTGGGGGGCCAGGAGCCTTTCATTTCTGATTGTTCTATCCTGGACCTCTGCCTGGCCACTAGGGCACTAGGGGGCCAGGAACAATTAGAAACGAGCCCAATTAGAAATGAGCACGATTAGAAATGAACGAAGTGTATCCCCGCCATGAATTTGCGCCCAAGCCCCCTTGGAGCCAGTCTTCTGTCGCGGATCTCGCGTCGATGGCCCCGTGGCTTGTCGGCAGCCCCTGGGGGCCGAATACGCGAGAGCAGAGCCGCAGCCAGGGCCCGGTGAGAAAGAGGTGTTCTGGTCTCGGGAGTCTCGAGACGGGGGTCAATGCAGACGGGGGTCAGCCAGGGTGCCAGATCCTGCAGGATCCTGCGAAGACCCCCTCTGCTGACCCGGGTTAGCGAGCCGCTCGTGGCCGCGAGGCGGCCGCGCATATTGGCTGACCCTGTTTTTTCTTCCTGCGTTGCAGTTTTTTTTCCTGCATTGCAGTGTTTTGGTTTCCTGCTGACCCGGGTCTGGATTGACCCGGGTCAGAAGATTCCCGACGGTCTCTTGCGCCAGTCCCAACGATCCTTTCCTGGGGGCCCGTTCTCCATCCCGAGCTAGGTTTTTGCTGATGGCCCCCCTCGAAGACGGTCCCCAAGGGCCGGAATCGCGGGCAAGACTACGAGCTCAGACTCGAGATCTTCGATTCTCTGTTGGCTTGGGCACGCCTCGGTCCCCCCCAATTAGCTCGTCTGTGCAGGCAAGAGCTTGTCTGTAGCGAGCGTCTGGTGAGGGGGCCTGGGTTCCCGAAATCGGTGGCCCAGCCCTGGCACCGTGGCCCGTGTGAAGTTGTGTAGGGTCTTCTGCCGCAGGGGTGCTGTGCATGGGGAGTGTGGCAGCAAACGGCATGGCAGATTTAAACCCACTTCTGGCGCTCGAAGCCTCTTGGCGGCATGTTGTGCGCACGGCACAATTGCAGCTGTAGTGCAGAATGACTTGTATACTGCTGATGTTCGTTTTTTGCGATTCCCCCCCCCCTTCCACGCCGAGCCAGCTGCCCCTTTCGCCTCGCACCATGTTCTGCTGAGTGATAACTTTTTTGTGTTGTTGTTTCTCTCCGCAGGTTCCAAAGTCGTCGCCGACCTGCCATGACAGACTTCTAGACGTGCAAAAGCTCGATGAGGCACCTGGGGGGCATGCCTTCGTACAATCTCTGTCACGCACGCTGGAGGAAGTCGACGAGGCCGTGAGCAACGTGGAGGACGTCAACCTCTCATGGTGCGGCCTAGTCGATGCTTGTGGGCACGCCGCCGCTTCGAGCCTGCCGGAGCGCGCAATGCCCAAGCGGAAGCCTTGGACTGGCGAGGGCACATTGGAGTTGATTGCACGACGGGCAGAAGCACGGCGGCAGGGAGACAGACAAACGAAATCAAATCTTACAGCAGCTGTGCCATCGTCAGTAGCTCGGGACAAAGCGGCCTGGCTGGAAGGTCTGTTAGCCGACGGCAATTGGGCCGAAGTGCGGAAGTTCAGAAAAGGGCGCTGTCCGAAGCAGAGGTGGCTTCGGGATGCCAGCGGCACGCTGGTTGAGAGCGACCGTCGGGCTGAAACGCTGGCGGAACATCTAGAGAAAATGCAGTGGGCGGTTCGTCCAACAACCTTGCTCGACGACGACGCGCCAATCAACCCAGAACTTCGCATGCACCTCTGGCCCATCACAGTAGCCCAACTCAAGACGGCTGCCAAGAAATTGCGGAACGGCAGAGCCCCAGACATGGACGCCTTGCGCCCGGAGTTCTGGAAGGCAGCCACAGCGGACGGGGAGGGGGCCATTGAATGGATTGCCAAGTTTCTGCAATTCAGTCTCAAGTTTTGCAATTCAGTGCGGGAGTGCGGCAAAGTTCCAGACGCCTGGCAGTTAAAGTTCGCGTGAGCCTGATATGGAAAAAAGGAGACCCAGCATCACGTGAGAAGTATCGGCCACACAATCTTCTGCTGACTGGGTGTAAGCTGTTCGCCATGATTATGCTGCGTCGTCTCCGGGAGGCAGGCGTGGAAGACAAGATTTGGAACACCAAATTTGTTTTCCGACCATGGCGCGAGAGAGCGGATGCGATTTTCCTCGCTCGCCGCGTGATCGAGGAGGCATGGGCGATAAAGGGCGGAAGCGCCGTGCTGTTGGCCCTGCATTGGGGGAAAGTTCTCGTTTCCATATCGCCAGAAACTCGTATCTTTGTCCCCCAAGCAGTTTGGGTGCCCAAGCCAATGTGTCGATATGAGCTCCAGGACCTACAAGGACAGCAAGAGCGTGGCGACGGGATTCACAGTCGAGCTCGGGGATCACACCCAGACTTATGGCCTCTGCCAGGGGTGCCCGCCGTCGCCATTCCTTCCCACGGTATTCATCACCACGCTGCTAAGCGATGCTCACAAGTGCGGAACCAGATCGGGGAGGCCGTCGGGGAGCACGTCCTCAGCGAGCTGGTCTACGCGGACGATACCTTTCTCGTCGGCAGCAACCCCAGGACCGTCGAGACTTTTACGCAGCGTGTCGAGAAGTGTGGGGAACATTACGTGTAAGGTTAAACGCCGTTGTCAACAACACTATTGCGACGGCAACAGCGTGCAACGGATCGTTGGTACATCATTGGGCATGCTTGACAGCTGACGGCCGGATCGCAGCGGAGTTCAGCCGTCGGATAGGGACCGCTTGAAGTGAGCTCAAGGCGCTGCCTGCGGTATGGTGTCTAAGCTGCAATATTGTTTTTTCGCCGGGTGCGTGAACACATTGGAAAGGAGGGGGCGTGACGCCTTCCAAGCCCTTTGTCTCAGGAAGAACTTGCGATTTTCGCTGTGTATTTGTTTGGCAGAGTGTCAAACGCAACTGTTTTGACTATGGCCGGACAGGGGCCGCTGAGCGAAGACATTTGCAGGCGACAGATGGAATGTATGGGACATCTTGCCAGGCGGGCAGACTCTGACCTATTGCGGTGCTCGATCTTCCGCCCTGGTGGCATCGAGTTGAAGCGACCAGATTGGCCGCGGCAGCGTGGCAGGCAGGGACAAATGTGGAGCCACGTGGTCATGAATAGTGGTGTGCTTGCTGTGGGCTCACGCCAGCGCGTTGCTGCTTTCTTCCGCCAGGGTGGAGGAGCTGCGCGCTCGTTGAAACAGCACGCTCGCGCATGGCATTTGAGCGCGTAGCTGTGGCTCTCGTCTCTCCTCTCTCCTCTTTCCTTCGTTCTCCTCCTTCCCCTCCTCCTCCTCACCCTCCTCCTCCTGCTCCCGACTCTCCTCCTCCTCTTCCTCTTCCTCCTCCTCCTCTTCCTCCTCCTCCTCCGCCTTCTGTATGTTTAACACGCGCAGCCGTTGCCAATGCAGCGCGCCTCTCCGGTGGGCATTTGGGCTGTTCACGGTCCCACCCTGCTCGCGCAAGGCTTCTGAATTGAACCTTCCGCGCGGCGCTGGGGGTCTGAGTTGTCGGCGGCGGCGCGCAGAAGGGCGTGGCGCGAGGGGGGGGGGCTTCAAGAATCCGGGGGGGCCTCGAAGGGCCCAAAGGATTCCGACTGGCTTCTGGGAGCCGCCCAGCCTTCCTGACGTAGGTTCGTGCCGTGTCCACGCGGCAACAACCCCAAGTCTCGCTTTCAAGGCTGACCGCCCCCAGTGGCCCAGACTCAGCCATTATGGATTGATCCGGTGATCGAAAAGCCGCCGAGCATTCAAGGTTGAACGATCCACCGTGGCGTCAGGAACCAGAGCCGAAGTCGTCTCGACACGAACCCTGCCGTAGAAGGGCGCCCCCCTGCGCCACCCGCACTTCAGGGCATTGTCAGCCGAGGGGGGACCGTCGTCCACGCCAGCCCTGACCAGGACCGGAGACTGGGCCCACGTGGTCACCTCGCGCGCGTCCCCAAGAGCTGCCTCAAGTGAGCCGCCCGCCCCGCAGGCTCCTGATGACCGAGTTCCTGCACAAGGCGGCCAGGGAGCGGAGGGCGGGCCCAGAGGGCGGTGCTGGCGACGGCGACGAGCGTCGACGACGGCGTCGAGCGACGAGCGGCGTCTGAGATGGCTTCGACGGCGGCGAGCGACGAGCGACGAGCGTCGGTGACCCGAACAGCGAGGGGTGTTTGTCAGAGAAGGCGAGCGGCAGGGTTCATGGCAGAAGCCAGACGCAGGGTCTCCTGGGGGAGGAAGCGGAGAGAAAGGATGGTAGGGCGGCGGGGCGGGAAACGGTAGTTGGAGCATGGCTTGCACGCAGTGGATAGCCAATGTTGGACACACAGTATTTGGGAGACATTCCATGCTGCCCTTTCTTGGCCCAGGAAGTTGGGCCCAACGCCGCCACAATTCCCATTTTTAATGGCGAAAGAAAGCGGTCGCATTCGAGGGACGGAAGAAAACGGGGTCGATTGGGCGGACATTCGCGTTTAAGTTTCCCGCGTAAGGTCGCGCGTGCGCGCCTTTTTGTCCTCGCGGTGTGTCACGCTTGCAGCCCGCGTGCGCCGCAGCGTAAGGTCGCAACGTCTTCTCCGGTAAGACCCGTTTCTCTTCGTCGCTCATTCAAGGTGTTTCGATTTGAATTGGTGTGAGTTGGGTTGAAGTGAGTTGTGCGGAGTCCGGAGTTGGAGGATGGAAGGCATGAGGAGGCGGAGACACAGGCGGAGGAGGAGGACGAGGAGGAGCAGGAGGAGGAGCAGGAAGAGGAGGAGGTCGACGTGGAGGATGATGCTGAGGACGAAGATGATGCTGAGAAGGCCTTCTCCTTCTCCCTTCCCCCCCTCGCTCGCCGCCAACTGGCGCACAACCGGGCGTAGAGAGACGCACGAAGCAGGGAGCGAGCGAGCGAGCGAGCGAGCAGAAAGCCGTCCGAGCACACGAACGCCCACCGCGTGTGAGACCTGAGGTCCGCAGGGGCGGCGGCAGAGGCGAAAGCCTAGGAGAGGGCGGGGCGCTCCAGGAAAATCACACACCCTTCAAACCCCCCCAGGACGAATAGGGAGCCAAAGGCCAGCGCATGAAGTAGGGAGGCAGAGAGGGAGGACAAGTTGGAGGAGGAGGGGGATGATGATGATGAGGAGGAGGAGGAGGAGGAAGAGGAGGAGGAGGAAGAGGAGGAGGAGGAGGAGGAGGAGGAGGAGGAGGAGAGAGAGGAGGAGGAGAAGAGGGGATGGGGAAAGACGGGCTCGCTGCTCGTCCTCCCCCACCCCCCACCTCGAAACACCAGGACACGAAGTATGGAGCGTGGGTGCGTCCCCCTCGACTAGACGTCAGAGTGACCCTTCGCCGGAGTGACCTTCGGTGCGGGACCATTGGTGCCCTGATCGCCGCACGCGATGCGATAGTAGCGTCTTGCGCGCTTGTGTTGGGCCCCCCCTCCGGCCACCAGCAAGCCGAGCACCAAAGGTCACTCGTACCCAGGGCCACTCTTGTGTGTAGCCGACACGCGGCCGCGACACGGCGGGCGCCTCGAGGGGGGGTAGGGGGCGTGCGGCTGCGCATCGGGGATCGCCGTCCGATGGCGTTGCGCAGCAGCAGAGGGAGGGGAGGGGGGTGGGTGATAAGGAGGGCTGCGCGGGGTCTCTACGGCGAGGCGTGGCCGGCAAGTGACGTGAGCCGGGCACACGCGTGGCCGCAAGTCTTGGCCCTCGCGTGGCCAGGTGCCGCGCGGCGCGTGCATCCAGCGTGTGGCCTCCGTGCGTGCCGCGCGCGGGTCCAGCCGCGTGTGCTTCCAGCCTAATTCGGCATCCGGGGAGGGAGGGCGGACGCAGCGCGTCCAAGGCCATGGAGGGCAGGCGCGATGGATACGCCATGGGGTTGCTCCTCGCTGCCCTCTTTCTCTCTGCCCCCCCGCTTGTGGTTCGTCCTTGTGTGCTCCCAGCCTCTCCGTCTCCCCCCTCCCCCTCCCTCTCGCCATCACTCTTCATCACTCTGTCCCTTTGGCTCTCGCTTCCTCTACTCCTGCAGTTGGCCCGGGCAGCTCTTCCGTCGGGCCGCGGGGCGGCGCCCCGCGCCGGCGCCCAGGTCGGCGTCCGCATCGACTCCGGCCCCGCAGGCGCGCGCCACCATCGCCGCTGTCGCCGACGTCGCCGCCGCCGCCGTCGCCGCCGCCGTCGCCGCCGCCGCCATAGCTGCCGCCGCCGCCGCCGCTGCGGTCGCCTGCCGTCGTCGCTGCCGCCGCAGTCGTCACCGCCGGTGCTATATCGTCGCGGCTGGCCAGCGCCAGGCCAGGCCAGGCCCGCAGCGGTGGCCCCCTGGTGCTGCTGGTGGGCGGGGGGCGCGGGGCGGAGGGCGGGTTCGGAGTGGTGCTCGGGGGGCCCTCGGGTGGTTCCCAGGCGGTCTTCGTGCAGTCCAGGCGCTGTGAGAAGGGCGGGGGGCGCCAAACGGTGCGGCGAACTCGAGGCCTCCCAAGTGGGGTCCGAGTAGATGGGGTCGGAGGACCGCTCCGCATCGCCGATGCGACTCGGTGTGGAGCTCGATTGTCTCTCCAGGCTGGCGTCGCCGACGTCGCCGATGCATCGTCGACGCCTCAGCGATGCGGCGCGATCCTCCGACACCATCTGCTCGGAACCCAGTTGGGAGGCCTCTACATACCCACCGCGTGGTGAGTCAGTGGGGATTCGGGATCACCTCACGGTTTGGGGATCGGATCGTTCTCCGAGGTTGTCGGACCACTGTGGCCTCCAGGGTCCCCAAACCGTGCGGTGACAGATGCCGACCCAGACATGCTCGCGTCGCGAAAAACAACACGACCGGCGTTTTTGGCCGTTCTCTGCTCTGGGATCCCTTGCCGGTTCCGTGAACCTTAAAAAAATACTCAGGATGAAAAGCCGTCCCTCCAGAAAGGGTCGGGACTTCCAGAGACGGTGTATAAAACATATCGAGACATCGCATGTCTGGAGAGAGAAGGGTCTAGGGTCTAGGTCAGATGAAACACCTCGTAGCCGTGTCTCAACGTGGCAGTGAACTGCCCTGTCGCTCCTTACTCAGCGTTCCTATGGTAGCCTGATGTGTGGGGGTTCGGATGCTCTTCGTCGTGTGCGTGTGTGGGTAAATGGGGAGGGGAGGATGAGAAGGAGGAGGATGTGGAGGAGGAGGAAGCCGGCAATATTCGTTTTGTCATATGGATTGGGGATCTTGGAGGAGCAAGATGCAGGGATATTCCTCGTCCTGGGCGTCCTCCTCCTCTTCTCGGCCTTCAGGGTGCTCCTTGTCGCCACGGCTGGGGTGGGCTCGGATACCGGGACAGGATAGGGCTTTGTGGGGTTCGAGGAATTTGTTTTGAGCAGCGCTTGTCTTGAGGAGGTAACCCTCATTCTGCTGCCCCTGGTCGTCCATGTCGTCGTCCTCCTCCCCGCCCTTTTCTCAGCTTCCCTTCCCTCACTCTTCTTCCCTCCTCCTCCCTGCCTCCTCCTCTGTTTCTTCCTGCTCCGCTGCTCCCTCCTCCTCGCCCGCCCCTCTCTCTTGCGGCGGCCGGTCGCACGCTCTCTCCACTTCCTCCTCCCTCCTCTTCCTCCTCCTCCTCCCTCCTCCTCCTCCTCCTCCTCCTCCTCCTCCTCCTCCTCCTCCTCCTCCTCCTCCTCCCTCTCCTCCCCCATCTCCCTCTCCCTCTCCTCCTCCTCCTTCCCCTCCTTCGCCTCCTCGCCCTCCTCCTTTCCTGTCTTCTTCTCCTTCTCGCCCTTGTCCTTCTCATTCTCGAACCTCCTCCTCGGCCCCTCGGCTGCCGCCGCGCGCGCAGGCCCCGGATCACATGGCAGCCGCGTTGTGGAGCTCATTCTTCCCCCCCGCGCCTCCCCCGCCGTGCCTCCCGGCTCCTCTTCAGTCCTACGACTCTGCCCTTCTCGCTCGCAGCTTCTGCCCCCGGCTGTCCTGTCTTAGACTCCTTCCCCGAGGGTGGGCCCCTCCCCCCGAGTTCTCTGAGGACGCTCGGGAGGCCGACAGAGCAGGAGCCCTCCCCGCCGTGATTCCCTGCACGACGAGTGGGAGCTCCAGCCCGTCCAGCTCACCGACTCTCGCGCACTCCCGCGCCGACCAGCTCGCCAACTCCCGCACCGACCAGCTCACCGACTCCCGCACCGACCAGCTCTGATGGCTACACGCAGTCTGCCATGTGGTTGCATCTCTCGGTTGGTAACCTACGGGCACGGATCCACATTTGTCCATTGGCTCTGGCAGAGCGTGTCGCCGCACCGACTCCGTGACGTTTAGAACGTGCTTTGGGGCTTCGCCCGGGGATGCGAGGGCATGCATACGATCTGGCCCGACGGGCGTGCCGGTCCATCCGCTATCGAATTGGGCCTTGCCGGGCGACCGACAACAGCGTCAATGACTGCGCCCATGACAGCACCAGCGGCAAAGCCTACATCAGCATCGTCGCCTACACCACGCCCGGCGCCCACACCGGCATCAACGCTGGCGTGTCGGACCAAGCTTGTCGCCATGCCAGTCTTGGGGGATGCTGGCCAATCGATGTATTTCCTGCGGGCTGGAATGTGTCACGGAATACCCCGGTTGCTCTGGGTAGCGACGTTATGTTGGGAGTTCTCAGTTCACCGACTCCCGCGAAGACCAGCTTTCCGACTTCCGCACCACCCTGGTCCCGACTGCAGCTCTGGCTCCGATTCCTGCTCCGACGGAACTTGCGGCTCCGGCTCTGGTCCCATGTGCGAATCCCGCCTCGACCCCGACTCTTGCGCTCAACCCTACTCCGACTCCAGCCCCGACTCCAGCTCCAGCACCCCTCCCGTCGCCACTTCCAGCTCCGACCCCAACGCCGACTCCAGCGCCAGATCAGCCCGACTCCTCCTCCGACGCCGGCTCCGTCCCCGACACCGCCGCCGACCCCAGCTCAGACTCCGACGCCCGCTCCTGCCTCACCTCCGGCTGCGACTCCAGCTGCGACTGTGCTCCCGACACCCGCTCCGGGCCCCGACAGAGATTACAGCAGCTCTCGAGTCGCTGCGGGGCGGCACCCGCATACAGGGCACGATGTGACAGACAAATCTCCTGCATCTACTTCTCCACTTGATCGGCCCTGTGCATGCCCTGGGGTCCTGGCGCGGAGTGCCATGGGCGGCCAGTGCCCTGTGCCTCCCCATTGTTCCTCCCTCTTCTCATCACTCTTTTCTTGCGTAGTTTCTTTTGGGCCGCCCAGCCCGCGGTCGTGCGCACCCTGTCCTCCCCGCCCCTGCTCGGCAGGGTTTGGGCTGGCATCGCAGCGCACGCCCTGCCACAACCAGTATTACTGTTCAATGCTCTCGCTGCTCCTGACCTCCTAGATTTCTCGTGCGGGACCCAGTGCGAACGCCGACTACAGGTTGGTTTGTGCACGCGCCAGTTCTTCCCCCTTCTCCCCTCCTCTCCTGCTTTCTTCCTTTTCATCTTCTTAGCATAATGTTGCGTTGGATGTATTAGCGTGGCCATTTAGGTCACCTTGTAGGGGTATGACACAGCCGAATCATTCGCCGTCTGAGATGTTTGTCCTCCTCCACGCGCGTGGTGAGGGTAAAACATTGTTTTCGAGTACAGCCGCTCCGCTGGAGCCATGCAGCTTTTGTTTCGTGTATATGTCCTTTCAGCAAGCTTCCGTCGTGACCGGCATTCGCGTTGCGACGGTGGCGGCTGAAGCATGCTTTGCGCTGGCAGCTGATATCTCTCACTATAGATATAGACATATATAAATATATGTATGTGAATACATATATATATATATATATATATCAGCTGCCAGCTCAAAGCATGCTTCAACGATCGAAGGGTCGAACGAGTTGTCATCTCGAGGGTCTTCGATGTTGTCATCTCTTCCGCGGCGGAAGGCGGACGGTCGGCGGAAGTAAAACAGGGCCGCCTCCGCTGGTGGAAGCCAGCGTGAGGCCGGCGAGAGGCGGCGAAAGTAAAACATGTGCTCCCAAAGAGATTACACCCCGTGTTTGGGTTCAGGGTTTCCGAAACCGCCCAAAATTATGTGTATCCGTAAATCCGGGCGGGGGGACCCCCCCCTCCAAAACCGGACTCCCGGGATCTGGGGCTTTGGGGCCTTCCGGACGGGCCTCGAAGTGCCCCCTGGGCCTCGCAGGGCATTTTACCAAGCCTTCCCAGCACACCTAGGGCGATCAGGGGGTTCATCGGAGACGTCTCAGAGACCCCCAAGACAGCACAAGAGCGCTCCAAGAGTGACCGACGTGACCTCAAGATGGCCCAAGAGGTCCCCAGGACGGCCCCAAAGCGGCCTCCAAGAGCACTCCCAAGAAGGCCCCAAGAGGCAAAACTCATAGATGTTCTATTGGATTTTGGTGAATTTTGGTTTCGGCTTCCCGACGCTCCAAGGCGGCGGTCTTCTGGGCGTCCGAAGCCGCCTGGGAGGCTCCCAAATCGCCCCACAACCATCCGAAAAGGCTTCCAGGCAGTCCAAGAGAGCCCCCAGACGGCACAACACGGGTCCAAGATGGCCCTCACAGAGCCCCATGGTGGCCCAAGATGGCCCCAAGACGCCTTCCGAAGCATTCCAAATCGTGACCCGGTCGTTCAGGGAGACCGCGGTTGGAGGCAGGCTGGCCCGAGGAAGTCCCCAGAGGCCCCCAGAATACGCCCAGGAGGCCTCCAGAAGGCCTTAAGAAAGCCTTTCGAGGCCCCCAGAGGCTCTCCCAGGAGGAGCCTCCGCAAAAAAAGCTGAGGAGGATGGGGAGAATGCGCAGGGTATTGCGAAAACGAGGAAGAATAAGCATGAAGGAAGGAGAACGAATAACATTATCATAGCGGCGATGCCGGAACAAGCAACAATGAGTTTTCGCTAAATTGTCAGCTTAACCTTCTTGCTATTCCCCCTGCATACCAAACTTCAAGGACCAAGGTGCATGGCGCGAAGCGCCACTGCAGTTTTGTATATCTACACATCTATATATACATATATGTGTGTATATGCATATACAGACACCCTCCGACTAACTTTGCATGTACCTTCAAGGGTGGCTGGTGGTGTATAAGGTCGCTGTTTCTCAATCGTGATTTACACGCCGCTTACCTCCCCTGAGGCCCAGGGGCAATCCATTGGAGGGTGTCTGTCTACATCTTAATGTGGGGATCCTCCCCCCCGCCAGCTGCCGTGCCGCCCGAGAGGTCCAACCACCGACCCCGAGGCGGACGTTGGCGTACAGATCATCGCGGCGGAGCTCAACGAGGCCACCGAATGCACAGTTGCGCCCGCCCCCCTCGTCCACGTGCCACTAGCATAGAGGTCCAGCCAGGATGTGCGACCTGCCCCGTGGTCGGACGACCACTGGCTTCTGGCAGCACGGATTTCCGTCAGCTGCCCCAGGGTCCCCAATATTTCGTCAATGGTCTCCTGCCCCTAAATATGGATTCTGATACCCCTTAGCATATAGCGCGCTTGGTAATCCTCCCGTCCTCTTCCTCCTCCTCCTCCTCCTCCTCCTCCTTCGTCAATGCTCTCCCACCCCTAAAGAAAGGTTTTGATATCCTTTAGCCTCTAGCGCGCTTGGTAGTTCTTCTCCTCCTCCTCCTCCTCCTGCATTCCAGGCCATAGCCCTTCTGTGGGCTGGAGCTCGCGCTGGCGCCCCTCCTCAGCGAGGCTAGAATCACCAGCCCTGAATGCACCGGAATCCTCCTCCTCCTCCTCCTTCTCCTCCTCCTCCTCCTCCTCCTCCTCCTCCTCCTCCTCCTCCTCCTGCGGGGGGTAGCTGGGCGAGTCGATCGCAGCGACTGTCCACAGGACTGCTGCTACTTACCGCTGGGCCGCTTGGGGGCCTGGCGGGGAGAGGCCAGCTTATGTCCCCCCTGAACTGGCCCTGATGGTGGAGCCGCGGCCCCAATCCAGATGCAGATCGAGGCGGCTCGCGGCCCACGGGGCCACCAGCAGGCGCGTCCTGCGTCGCTGGGCCTCGGCCCAGGCGGGGCGAGGAGGGGGCGAGGGAGGCGGAGGGGAGGCGGGAGCGAAAGAGTGGGCGGATCCGAGGACCGCAGCGGCGTCGGCTTCCTTACCTGTGAGGTCCGCCACGGGCTCCAGGAGGGCCACCACCACAACCACCATAAGTTGGAGGTGGAGGGGGCCCTCCTCCTCCTCCTCCTCCTCCTCCTCCTCCTCTTCGTCTTCCTCTTCCTCGTCCTCCTCCTGCCCCCCTCCAATTTGTGGTGGTGGTGGTGGAAAACACGCCCATCAATGGAACCAGGGGGACTTCTTGGGGCGGAGGACAGGGGGCCTCGGAGCGGGCGCGCTCGGGATCGGGCCTCCTTCGGCCCTCCCCCCTGTGGAGCTCCGCGGCACAACAGATCTGACAGACCCCGGCCTGGAGGGAGGATTCAGTCCCAGGAGCCTCAGGCAGCGCCGAGTTCAGGAACGACTGCAGCGTCTCTGGGATGCTCTCGGCACTGCAGCTGCAGAGGCCAGGGGGTTGGCCTTCTTCCAGGAAGTCTTGAAGGTCCACGAATTATCTTCACGCCATGGCAAGGTGGTGTGAGCGCCGCGCCCATGGGAGAATTTTCCTTCTCCTGGGGTCGCGACCAGTCTGCCGTGCTTCCCCGCCAGGCGGAGCCCATACAGCCTGGTCGGGGCGCGGCTCAGTTGGCCGTGCTCGCACTGGTCGAAGTCGGTCATGGTGCTGCACGGCCCGCTTTGCAGCGCCAGTAGCGGCTCCCATGTCCAGCTCGTCACCGCCTGCAGCCAATGGCACACTATGGGGTACTCATACCACCCCGCCGTGCCCACCACCAGGTGGGTGCCCAGCAGCAGCACCAACGCAATCAGGAGGCTGCCACAGACCTCGGGCTGATCGCGCTGCGCCGGCGTGGTGAGCCGCCTGCTCCAGTACTCGTCGTGTGACCTGTGCGGCGGAGGTCCTGGCTCATCTGACCACCGAGCCGCGCTCCACGTCTCGCAGGGCGCAACTCCGCCCGTCAGGACGATCTGGCGGCTCTTGATGCCGTCAGTGAAGCGTTTCAAGCTGTCAGGCCGCATCAGGTCGCACCTGTCCGCGTCGATGGCCACGTCAATGCTCAGTATCATGATGCAGACCGTGGCGGAGACTACGGCAAAGGCCGGCGACGTCTCCAGCCCCCGCTGGATGTCGCCCAGGCGCCTGTGGCCGCAAAACAGGTTGAGCACGAAGAGCTCGGCCCGCTGGATCCGCCATGGCACTGCCTGTGCTGCCACCTTCGAGAACTGGTCAGTTCTGAACTGCTCCAGGTCGTGCCGCTCGTCATGCCCTGGTGGCGGTGGCGGTGGAGTTGGCATCACCCGCTTCTCGCTCAGGAGGTCGATGGCCGCCTGGTCCAGCGCGTAGTCGGCCTCCAGGAGGATTGTCCTGGCTTGCCCGGGGCTGTGCTTGTGTCGCCGATGCTCTGGTTCTGGCCCATGAGCACTGTTCGCTGGCACGTCGACGCGCCTCCTGAGCAGCCTTCTCGGTAGGGCGTCCTGCTTGCTGACCTCATCCTCCTGCGACTGCGGGCCGATACTGTCCTCAAGGGTTGCTACCAGGCACTCAGGAGCTGCAGCGGCGAGGTGCTCCGTGAGGTGGTGGCGCTTCGCGAACTGCGTGTGGCAGCCTCGGCGCTGGCTGTCGTCGTGTGCCCCCTGGCAAGCCTAATCGTCCAGTGGTTCTGGCAGACGTGGACTCTCAGGCCTCGTTGCGTCTTGAAGTCCTGCTGGCACCACGGGCAAGTCCGGACGCGGGCTTGCGACGAACCCCCATCGTCATAGGGCTGGCCGAAGGGCTGCCCTCTCTCCTTGACCATGGGGCACACCAGCCGGCTGGACCATATTGAAGATATCCTTGGCCGCCACTCGTGCGGCCACCTCCCTGCCCGGCGCTGCCGCCGACGCCTTCAGCGCGTCGTTGACTCGGTATTTCCAGGAGGTGTGCGAACTCCTGAGTGCACTCCCAACTGCCCAGATCATCGCCGGGATCCGGGAAGACCTTGAGGTCTGGGGCCAGCGTCTGCAGCCGGCGCATGTCCTCCAGAAGGAGCTGCGGCCAGGACGGGCGCTTTGGGTGTTACAGCAGCATGGGCAGCTTGGCCATCAGCGCGAAGGCCAGCGGCGGCCCCCCCATGGAGCAGCTCGCCGAAGAGCCCCAGGCGCGCCACTTTGATGAGCTCAGCAGGTCTACTGCCCTTGACGTTTGCCAGGAGCACCTCGTCCTCAGCGTCTGGCGTCTTCTCGAACTGGAGCTCCACTTCGGTATCGGCAGGTTCCCTTTCGCTGGCCGCCGCTCCCTGCCATGGCCATGCAGTGGTGGTATCGTGCTTCTGCCTGCGTCAGCCCTTGCCAGCTGCCCTTCGAGAAGCAGCGCGAGGAGCACACTAGCGAGCCCGCGAAAGTCATCTTGGTTGCCAGGTCGAGCTGCGAGTCCTTGAAGACTTTGGCCCGCAGTCTCTTCAGAGTCGTGCTGGTAGTGGCAGCTCGCCGATACACCTCAGGGTAGGCTGCCCTATGGTTGTTGATCACGGAGCCCAGCGTGACATGGGTGTAGACGGCCTCGATGGTGACGTCCTGGAAGTGCTGTGCCGCGGCTTTCATGCCACAGCAGCTACCTGCCCTGCTTGGGGCTTGGGCCCGCGAGCGCAAAGAGTGCCTCGGCCTTGCCCACGTCCAAGTTGAGCAGAAGGCCGATTTCGGCGAACGTGTCCAGCACTGCTCCCGCTGTGATTGCGACGGCATCCTGGGCCTCCATGGCTGGGCCGATCCAGTAGAACGTGCCATCGTCAGCGAAGGCGACGCTGTGTCACGGAGTATCCTCGTCGTCGTCGTCGCCGTCCAGCTGTTTGGCCAAGAATCTAGTATCTAGTCTCCGCGCCGCTCCCGAAACGGCCGAGATCTGTCTCTTGGAGGCGCTGCTCCGTCACAGCTATCGCCTCGGCCATGACCAGCTCGTAGATTTGGTCCGTCAGCGGGTGGTCTGGGATGGACGACTTGGTGCCGAGCGCCACACAGCTCCTCGACGGGCGCACGTAGGCGGATTTAGGCTCTTGTGCTGTGAAGCAGTGGAGTGCCAACGTCCAGCTGCCTGGGGAGGATTTCGAGCGCCGAGGGAAGCACCTTGGTGGAGTTCGCAATGAAATCCCTTTCACTCTGGGTCAGCGAGGTCTCTAGCACGAGCGCCCTGACAATGGCGTGGAAAGCATTGCGCACGTTCATGAAAGATGCGGCAAATGTCTGCTTGAGCGCTGCCGCCATCGTCTGCAGGAGCGTCGAGATGATGGACTCGTGCTCGGTGCCTCGTCTCCTCACTCCTCCGAGCTGCCTATCGCCAACTGCTGCTGGTATGTGCTCTGCTAGGCGTGTTCGATAGAGGTGCGCACCGGCATGCACTTGTGGTTTGCGCACTGCTCCGCTAGCTTCTTCTTGTGGCGGTGTCTGTAGAAGCCTCGTTTCAACTGCACCGGCTCCTGGCCTATGCAGGCGAACTTGGTGACGAGTGGGTGGTACGCCGCCGCCATCGCTTTCGCCTGTGTACGGAAAAGCTTGCCCAGCAGCCCGTCCACCCCGGCCGCTCAGTCCTTGGTGATCCTTGTGGCCCTCTCCAGCTCGGCGGGTGAGGGGATGCACTTCAGTTCTAGCTCTTCTAAGACGCCAACACAGTCTTGTGCCAAGCCCTGCTCCCACGCATGGAGTTCGTCAATGCTGACGTCCCGTGCAAATTCCACGAGGCTGAAGTGTTGGATCCGCATGTTGCCCATCTCCTGCTGGGAAGTGGCGTACGTACCGTCCAGTGGCTTGAGTACGGGCAGGCATTTGGTTATCATACGCTTCTGTGAGCCGATGCCCATGCCCCTGAGTCTGGACCTGGTCTGAAGCATTCTTGATGTTGCTGACGATGCGCTTCTACTGGTCCCTCGCGTCCTGAAAGTGGGAGTTCAGGATCATGTGGCCCAGCAGTTTCCCACTCCACACGCCCAGGGCCTCGCTGCTTCTCTGTAGCGCCGTCGCCATCCAGAACAGCGTGGGGAGCTCTCGATCCCAGCTGCCACTGGCCTGCTGGATCCAGTCCGACAGCGCTCTGGCCGATGAGACCGCTAGAAGCTCGTGGAAAAGGTGTGGATCTGGCCGTACCCCTGCTGGCTGTAGGCTAAGCGTGACGCGCCTTCGTCTGCCTCGCCGCCGGTACCTGGCCGCGCTGCCGCTCCTCGCCGTCGCCACTGGCACCTGGCCGCGCGGCGGCTCTGT